CATTCCCAAGCCTGGCGTTTCCGTGTGACCCTACAGCAAAGGCTTCACAGTTCCTTGCAGAACCTCCTGTCGGCCTGGCCCCCTGAGCTGGGGAAGCCCCGGCTGGGCCAGAGCCCATCCCCATCCGTGTCCTGAGCTGTGCCATCCCCTCCCGCAGGTCGGTGCTGCTGGGCTTTGGGGAGCCCCCCCGGGACAGTTTCTCCCCCCTGGTGATCTCCATCACGGCCGTGGCGCTGGGCACCCCCCTGGCCATGCTGCTGCTGGGCACCTGCCTGGTGCTGCTGGCCCAGAGGAGACGATACTCGGAGTATGAGCCCATCAACTGAGGGGGCTGGGCCCCACGGAGACCCCCGGGATCCCCCCGGGATCCTCCCTCCCCTTCCCGGGAATGCTGCCGGGCTCTGCCTCCCCTCCCACCCCCGAGGGGACCGGGGTGACACTCCTGGTGACACTCCTGGTGACACTCGCAGCGGCCCCACCTCGCTCTCCCCGAGTCCTGCTCCTTCCCACTGCCACCTCCTGCACTGGGTTGCACTTCCTCCCCAGATTTTTCCTGATCCATGCAGCTAAGGGAAGCGATGGGGGGAGTTTGGTCAGGAAAATCTTCCTCCTCCTCCTCTTCCTCCTCCTCCTCCTCCTCCTCCTCCTCCTGCCAAGGGATACAACCACGGCTGTGCTGGCTGCAGGCCAGGGACTGGCTCCAGTGCCACTTCCAGGGATGCTCGGGTGGCTCCAGCCCGGGCTGGGGGGCACCATTCCTCCTTCCCAGCACATCCCAGCTCCTCCAGCTGGGGCTCACGGACTCCTCCCCGCTCCACCTTCCTGCTGTGCCGGCCTGGGACACGAGGGACACCCAGAGGGACACCCAGAGGGACACCCAGTGCCACGTCACAGCAGCTGCTCAAGCTCAGGTGTGTCCTGTCGGGCCATGGAGGGCTGCTCCAGGCACGATGCTGGAGGGAGCCCCGGGGGGAGCCTGGCCTGTGGCTGCTCGGGGTTCTCAGAGGTGTCTGGGGCCGTGCTGGGCTCCAAGCTCTCCATCACCGACTGGTCTTCAACCAAATAAAGTGGATTTCTAAACACAAGTTTCCTGTGGGAATGGTGTGCTGGGGGTGAGGGGGGGGAGAGCAGCTCCTGGCAGGAAGGGGAGGGTGCTGGAGCTCTGGGAGGGGAGGGGGCTTCCCTTGGGCTGTGCCCCTGCTGAGAGATCGCCTGGGAGAGTCACAGAACCCTGGGATCTCAGCTGGGAGGAGCCCACAGGGCTCACCCAGTGCAGCCCCTGGCCCTGCACAGACACCCCAATAACCCCACCCTGTGCTGGCAGTGCTGTCCAAACCCTCCTGGAGCTCTGGCAGCCTCTCCCCATTTCCTGGGGAGCCTGGGCAGTGCCTGAACCCCCTGGAGGACGAATCTTTCCCCGATATCCAACATAAACCTCCCTGGCCCAGCTCCAGCCATTCCCTGGGGTGCTGACACTGTCACAGGGAGCTGTCCCCGCTGAGGAAGCTGCAGACAGTGTGAGGTCTGGGACCTGAAAGAGGAACAAGGGGAAAAAAAACCCAGCAGAAAGTCCCAAACTTCCTTGTCAAGCCTTCAGAGCAGGAACCCCCTGCCAAACTGCAGCCACAGCCACAGGAGGCCACGAAGGGACAGCAGGGAGGGTCCATGGGAAGCTGCTCCATGGGAAGCCTTGCTGTGTTTTTCCAGCAGGGAACTGAGGTGTTGCTCTTCTTTCTGGCTGCTCTGTGCAGGGCTGAGCTGTGATGAGGATTCTGTAATAAAATAAAAATAAAACCACAGAAGCTGCCTGGCTTTTACTATCAAACGCTGTGTGTTGTAAATCCCTCGTGGCAGATTTCCTGCTCCCTTGGGATGCTGTCACACAATTGTCAGGAAGTGATCCCAGAAATCCCAGACAGGTTTGGGATCGTGCAGTGCCACCCCTGCCATGGCAGGGACACCTCCCACCATCCCAGGCTGCTCCAAACCTCATCCAGCCTGGCCTTGGGCACTGCCAGGGATGCAGGGGCAGCCACAGCCGCTCTGGGAAGGAAAAGCCAGGACAGGTGAGGATGAGCAACAGCTCCCAGTCCTGGCAGGTTTTGTGTGGGATCACCCCTGGATGTGTCCAGGAGGGTCAGTGAGAGGGTGGCAGCACGGGTGGGGAAGATGGAACGAGGGATTTGTCTTTACAGACGAGCTGTGGGTCTGCTGGTGGATAAAAGCAGCACTGAGAGATAAAAAAAAACAATGGGGTGGATTCTGCTGATTGAAGAATGGAAAAAGAGATTTGCCTTTACAAACAAAGTGTTGGGCTGCTGTTAATGAAATTGGATATTGAAAGATAAAAGAAGCAATGGGGGAAAACCATGAATTCTGTAAGAATTAACAATTAAAAGGGAGGGTTATACATTAGAGGGGAATCCCAGGTATCAGGTGTTGGGGAGTCTGTGCCTCTCAAGTACCTCATCAATGGGGAAAGAGAGAGGGAAATTGGGATAAAAAGGGAGGTGAGTCCTCCAAAAAGTGGAGAGATCCCAGGGCAATGCTCCATGGCCTCTCCCTTTATTCAAATAAATAAAAAGAACTCCTCTGTCTCCTTTTCGGACACAAACCCCTGGTGTTTGTGGATGAATTTCCCTGCCATTGCCAAGCTTCTGTCATCCCCGTTCAGGAGCCAACCACCTGCACCACCCACACGGGGCCAGCGCTGCCAGGAGCCCACAGACAGCCTGGAGCCCTCCCTTTGCCACCACACATTCCTCACAGATTGTCCCCTCACCGGGGCTTTGCTTTGAGGCCTGATCTGAGAGAAAAGGGGGTTTAAAAAGTGCTGCTTCAACAGCTGGAAATGAGTCCAAGCAAGGAGAATCAGGGAGAGCAGGACACTGGGGCCAGGGGGTGACATTTGGTCTGTTCTGCTGGAGGAGAGCAGAGAGGGAAGAGTCACTGCAACTTCCTTATGAGGGGAAGAGCAGCAGCAGACACCTTCTCTGTTCTGTGGTGACAGTCACAGGAGCCAGGGAATGGCTGCAGCTCTGTCAGGGAGGTTTAGGTTGGATTTAGGAAAAGGTTTTTCACCCAGAGGGTTCAGGCACTGCCCCGGGGCTGCCAGAGCTCCAGGAGAGTTTGGACAGCAGTGCCAGGGATGGTCAGGGTGGGCTTATTGGGGTGTCTGTGCAGGGCCCGGGGTTGGACTGGATGATCCTTGTGGGGCTCTTCCCACTCAGGATACTCCGTGATTCTGTGCATCTGTGATTCTGTGGTTCTGTGGTTCTGTGGTTCCGTGGTTCTGTGTTTCTGTGATTCCGTGATTGATTCCGTGGTTCTGTGATTCTGTGACTCTGTGATTCCGTGGTTCTGTGATTCTGTGATCCTGTGCTTCTGTGCATCTGTGATGCCGTGATTCTGTGGTTCTGTGATTCTGTGACTCTGTGATTTCGAGGTTCTGTGATTCTGGCCAAGTGGAGATGATCTGGGGGTGACGGCATCCCTGGGGGAGCAGGATGAGGGGTTTGGGTCAGTGCAGGATGAGGGGTTTGGGCATGATGCTGTTCCTTTGGGGGTTTTGGGTCGGTGCTGTCCCCATCCCTGGGGGTGCAGGGTGAGGGGTCTGTCCCCATCCCGGGGGTGCAGGATGAGGGGTCTGTCCCCATCCTGGGGGTGCAGGGTGAGGGGTCTGTCCCCATCCCGGGGG